GTTCGTTCGTTCTGCACGTATGTATGTCTTCTGCATATCTGTATGTCTGTCTGCATGTCTGTCTGTCTGCATGTATGTATGTCTGATTTTATGTCAGTAAATCTGTTTGTCTGTCTGTCTGTCTGTCTGTCTGTCTGTCTGTCTGTCTGTCTGTCTGTCTGTCTGTCTGTCTGTCTGTCTGTCTGTCTGTCTGTCTGTCTGTCTGTCTGTCTGTCTGTCTGTCTGTATGTATGTATGTATGTATGTATGTATGTATGTATGTATGTATGTATGCATGTATGTATGTATGCCTGCCTGCCTGCCTGCCTGCCTGCCTGTCTGCCTGTCTGTCTGTCTGTCTGTCTGTCTGTCTGTCTGTCTGCATGTATGTATGTCTGATTTGATGTCTGTAAATCTGTCTGTCTTTCTGTCTGTCTGTCTGTCTGTCTGTCTGTCTGTCTGTCTGTCTGTCTGTCTGTCTGTCTGTCTGTCTGTCTGTCTGTCTGTCTGTCTGTCTGTCTGTCTGTCTGTCTGTCTGTCTGTCTGTCTGTCTGTCTGTCTGTCTGTCTGTCTGTCTGTCTGTCTGTCTGTCTGTCTGTCTGTCTGTCTGATTTCTGTCTGTGTACATGTCTGTATGTCTGTCTGCGTTTATGTCTGTATGAGAGTGGTGATATACTTATAATTTTAGACAGTGGGTGACATACTACACGGTGGTCGTGTATGTCTGTCTATCCGTTTGTGAATTAACATTTCTTCCACATCTGTTTACAGATGTTAACGTTCTGTCTGTAAACTCCGATCCGTGCACAGACGTAAAACATGGAGCCCAGAGACAACGAAGGTAACCTTTTTTCCGTATGTAGGGTAAGCTCAATATCGTGTTTTCCTGGGGAAAGGAAGTGGGGGGGGGGGGGGCCGAACAATACCTGGCCCGAAAGTAAAGAAAAATATAACCATCGTATACTTTTTGTCTGCCAGTGTTCCTCTGCAACCTGCTAACAAAAGTTCAACATGTGTCCGGTAAACCAATCGTGAGCTTGTCGCTCGGTCGTCCAGGTACGCTGACTGTTCTAATTAGGCTGCTGCGACGACTTCTTATCTCACAGTACCTTCTGCAAATCACCAAGTCGTTTTGTCCTATCCGAAAGAAAAACACCATCCGGTAATTTCGTGCAGCAGGGTACCAGCCCTGAGCTTCATGAACTCAGGTGGGCCCACCTCCGAAAGTGTCTAGGAGAATCGTAGGCCGAAACACTTGTCGACGAGGATAACTTCTACTTATGACTGGTAGATCCCTTCTGTACTTGCTCCCTGTGAGATGCTGATAATATAAGTCCTTCCCCAAACAGAGGCACTATTTACAATCGTCAGCCAGGCGAGGTGGTTTGGTTGGACTTCAAAACACACGTTGGACACATTAGTGTCATTAGAATTATATAAATTGTATAAATACTTGAATAAATGTACAGTTTTGTATTTAAATTAATGTAGATTAATTGCACTGAAATAAATGTATATTTTTGTACATGAAAAACTATATCTTCTGAAAATAACCACCAATGCGTGTTTTTTTTTTTTTTTTTAAACCAAGTATTAATAAAAGACTCGGTTTTATCTTAGGCGAAACAAGGTAATATCGGGATTACTTATATCAGCGATTTTTTTTTTTTTATAGGTCAACCTGGACTTGCCCATCTACACATGTTCTTGGTCAGAGGGGTGTCACGTTGTACTGATGTCTTTGAAAAGAGTTTCGTGTGACCTAGGCTGTGGGTTGGGGGAGGGTAGGGTTAGGGCTAGTTCTACATGTTCTGAGTCGTTGAAAGCTGTGTCATCGTGTAGTATATAACACGTGACATCGGCGCTGATGTAATTACACCCCTCCGACATAGAAGAGTCTTTGAAAGTATGAATAATAGGTCAAATAGTGTGTAGATAGGATGGAAAACGTGAACAGGACCGTCAACTGACAACAACACAGTGTACAGGGAAGGGTTATCAGTGGGGATTCCAGCTTCATCGCAAAAGGATTAAACCATAATGTTTCCATTCGTGTGCGAGAAGTACCACACCGAATGCCCATAGCTGCTCTCTGTCAAAAAGGTTCTGGATTCGATTCGCGGACGCGCGGCTGTTCAGTTCACGGGGTGTAATTTGTAAGAATATTCCATAGGACTTTCTCCGGAACTACAGAGTTATTGCTTTATGCGACACTTTTGTCAGGCAGCGTGCCGTTCTGCAGGAGAGAACGAGCCATATGAAGTAACCCGGTGCTTTGAAATCGATCCTTTCAGCTTCAACTGACACAAAGAAGTAACCTGAAAACTCGTACTGAGTTCCTTGTTAATGAATGAGTTAACCTTATGTGAGTCCCCTTCTGTGACGTGTAGCGACTTTGTTTTTATTTTATCCTTTAGTTGTGTCGAAATGACCCTAATATTGTTTTTCTAATTCATGAAACAGATAAACATACGAGATGGTCGGAAGGGGCGAAGCAGGCCTGCAACAGACAGAAACTTGATTCCAGGATTAGAGAGTTGCCAGTTGTGGAACACATCCCAGAAATACCCAAAAAGATGTCGTCGACATTGGCATGTTCTCGCTACTCACGAACACAGCGAGATAAAATTGATAGTCAACAGAGAATTAAACGATCCTTTTATCATCAGGGGCTAGAACCATCCGTATGCCCAGGAATTGTGGAAAAGCTGGCAACATGTGAAGATGTGGGAGAAGAGATGCAGCAGGAAGCTGATGACGTTAAACTCAATAGATGGAGCAGAGCGAAGTCAGAGATAGCTGGAAATAAATATCCTACTAAGCCACTAAATATTGATGATGCCGGGTCAGAGGATCAAGGGCTTGAATTCAACGAAACTCAACATTTAAACTATGCACCACAGAAATTAGATAAGTTCAACAAACAGGCAACCGTTACGCCTCCATCATTAGCGATATCAACTCTAACATCAGACAAATATGATATGAACCTTTTTAATTTCAGAAAATTTATTGAAGATCTCGTGGAAGATCAGTGTTGGTTGATAGATAAGATCGTGCAGCTTAAAAATGAATTGAATATAGTTGATAAGAAAATGGAAGACGTTAAAAATCAGGGTTTTCAAAAAGGAAGTGCGTCAAATGTAGAAATTATAAAGCTTGCTCAATGCCGATTTGGTGCTAGAAAGGGCATTTGCAGCAGTAACAACTGTTTGTGGGCGGTCAGGCAGGATTTGTTTGGCGATAATCAAAGCTGTGAGTTATCTTCATCGCCATTAAACATCTCTGAAGAATCAAATTCTGTAGATTGTCCTGATGATTCATATGATGGTAGCCTTAATAACTGCAACAAAACATCGACAGTCCGAACGGGACGAAGTCGAAAGCAACAAGAAATGTCTGACACAACATCATCGCGCCACCAAATCTCACTGGTCAGTAAATCTACGTCGGATGTATGCTCTTTCACTGAACATTCAGCCTCCTGTGTATTTCGTTTGATCCAGTACGTGTCTCTCATAGTACTTGTGATGGCGCAATGCATCATTCAGTTTGCCACCATGAATTTGTGAAACTTCTGCATTCATGCAGTTTGTGAAATTATAGTTCACTTAGGTTTATGGACACTGGGAGGGAGAGATGGAGGATACAAACACGAAGAGAACGTACAGATCAAATTATTCCTCTTGTCCTATACTAGTTCATCAGCGACTTGGGTACAGTCCAGTGCCGAATCCTTTATGTTTGCTTCAGTTTGCACAAAAACGTTTTAAAAATTAATATCAACAGACCAACAAAAGATATTCATATTTATTTACATAAACTATCAACCATGTAATTTACAAACGTTTGTGACAAAAGTTATTTTGTGGGTATGGTAAGTTACTTTTTATTTAAATCAATAAATCAGTCAGTTAGGATTAGGTGTTAGCTCTGAAATAAAGGTGGGTTGCAGAGGACCCCCAACTCCTTCTCTCTCTCACACACACGCGCACCTCCCACTTTTCACACTCTCTTCATTCTTTCTCTTACTCCCACTCGCAATCACTCAGTCGAGCTGCCTGTGAATTCATCCTGTTGTCTCTCCATCGTTTGCCCCATTAGGGCAAGAACTACCACACTAAAGACCGGAAGAGACAAACATACAAAAACAATCAGGACTACATTTTAAAGCGACAACAAGTAGCACATTTAAAGCAATAATTAGCCGTGTATTCAAAGCAACAACTAGAAGCACATTTAAAGCAACAACTAGAAGCACATTTAAAGCAACAACTAGAAGTATATTTAAAGCAACAACTAGGAGAAGCACATTTAAAGCAACAACTAGGAGAAGTACATTTAAAGCAACAAATAGAAGGGGTACATTTATTGCAACAATTAGTAGAGGTACGGCTAAATCAATAACTAGGAGTATATTCAAAGCATTAACTAGGAGAAGTACATTTAAAGTAACAACTAGAAGAGGTACATTTAAAGCAACAACTAGGAGAAGTACATTTAAAGCTACAACTAGGAGGTACATTTAAAGCAACAACTAGGAGAAGTACATTTAAAGTAACAACTAGGAGAGGTACATTTAAAGCCCCAACTAGGAAAAGTACATTTAAAGCTACAACTAGGAGAAGTACATTTAAAGTAACAACTAGGAGAGGTACATTTAAAGCAACAACTAGGAGAAGTACATTTAAACCAACAACTGAGTGAAGGACTTTTAAATCTATGTTCTTCTTTCTGTTGCCTTAAACGTCTAGAAAAAGAAATTTTAAATAAACAGCTAAGAGAAACAGCTTATATCAACAAAAAGTGCACATGTAAATCAACAACAATTAAAAAAAAAGGCACATTTGAAGCTACAAGCAGGAAAAACATGATAAGGATAATGACAGTTCCAGCTGCTGTCATCAATGAAAAAAAAAAATATTATAAACTCACAAATATTATAAAATGCATATTAAAACTACAAATTGTGAGCTTACACATGATGCGACATCTTATTTAAAGGATAAGATCCGCGCATCCTAACTGTTAACCCTTGTAATGAAAACTGCACAGATAATCAACACAACTACATTGATACTGGCAGTTACACTGTCAGATGTGTTACACGTCACGTTATGATTAAAATAATGCTCCTTTGCATTGGCCAAGGATGTTGTCACATCAGCGTCTGTTCTTGTCTTTTGGTTGTTTAGCAACGTCGTTACTGCTACTGGTTTTTCTATGGCATTTTTCATACTATTATCAGAAACGGCTGTCGCTCTTGATTCTTGTGGGGTCACAGTATAGGCACGCTCAACCCAGGACATATCGTTTGTAAAATTCTCTGAGTTCCCAATGATGCTCTTGTTTTGGTTACTGGCAAGGGAAATAACAGTTTTCGACATGGATGTCAGCAAAGGAAACCGTCCCTGACCGCAGTAATCTCCCTTGAAGTCGTCAAGATCCAGCGACCAAAACATGACGCCTCCCAGTCGATGCTCAAACGCCCACGTCACCTGTCGAAGGAAAAATGTTCATATAGCAGAAATGGCGGAGAGTCATACTGAGCCGGCTGCTAGCACAACGGTCACGGTTTTACTCAAAAAGAAAAGATCCCAACTGTTTACGATTAAGTAGTTTACAAAAATCCGTAACAAAAACAAAAAGCGATGCAAAAGAGTATAGGTCACTCATTGTGAAGTGACCTGGTTTTTATGAAATCGTTTAGTTTGAATACTTTTAGCCACTTAACTTAGCACAAACAAAACGAGACCACAATTATAATCAAAAGCTCCTTCTCATCTGATTGAACGTGGCCATAATTTCATTTATGTTCATTCAAAAAAGCAAGCATATCCTTTTGGAAGTATCTGCTATGGGACGCTCCTTTCTTTTTTCCTTCGCGCCTTCCTCATGAATCTTCTCGCCCTTGTCCCTCCTTCTTTTTCATCGTCTTCTTTTACTTCTTCTTCTTCTTCTTCTTCTTCTTCTTCTTCTTCTTCTTCTTCTTCTTCTTCTTCTTCTTCTTCTTCTTCTTCTTCTTCTTCTTCTTCTTCTTCTTCTTCTTCTTCTTCTAAATCTTCCATCTCTTCTTCTTCTTCTTCTTCTTCTTCTTCTTCTTCTTCTTTCTTCTTCTTCTTCTTCTTCTTCTTCTTCTTCTTTCTTTCTTTTTCTTTTCTTCTTCTTCTTCTTCTTCTTCTTCTTCTTCTTCTTCTTCTTCTTCTTCTTCTTCTTCTTCTTCTTCTTCTTCTTCTTCTTCTTCTTCTTCTTCTTTTTTTCTTCTACTTCTTCTTCTACATCTTCCTTCTCCTTTTTTCTTCTTCTTCTTCTTCTTCTTCTTCTTCTTCTTCTTCTTCTTCTTCTTCTTCTTCTTCTTCTTCTTCTTCTTCTTCTTCTTCTTCTTCTTCTTCTTCTTCTTCTTCTTCTTCTTCTTCTTCTTCTTCTTCTTCTTGTTCTTCTTCTTCTTCTTCTTCTTCTTCTTCTTCTTCTTCTTCTTCTTCTTCTTCTTCTTCTTCTTCTTCTTCTTCTTCTTCTTCTTCTTCCTCATCCTCGTCCTCCTCCTCCTCCTTCTTCTCCTCTTTCTCTGCCTACTCCTCTTCTTATTCTGCATCTACTTCTTTCTAGTGTCGAGTTATGTCTCTGCAGTTGTCTCCAGTCTCTAATATTAGTGGAGTCGAAGTTTAGTTTACGAGTTACTCAGTGATATCCAGATGTGTAAACTGTCCAGATATATTTGTTTCTGTCAATCTTGTTTTGATTCTCTTTCTGACCGCCCCCCCCCCCCCCCACCCTCATCCCCAACCCCCACCTTCACTCACACCCCCATCCCAATTAGTCTAAAGTAACTAACAAGGATCCTGTAATTGAAAAAAAAAATATGAGCCAATGAACTATGGCTGCAAATGACGTATGCCACTTCACTATTCAAAATAGGGGCGCTTTAGTTTCTGGCACGGATTACCTCCAAAATGGGTGCAGTATGACATTTTGCCAACTTCGACTCAGTCCATTTACTGTAAACATGCTAACTGTATGCTTTGAATCGGTGTCTGTTTTTCATACATTACAAACAAGGCAAAATAAAAACTAGATGTTTATTTATTTATTTATTTATTTTACAACGGTGTGACTAATAATAGGTTACATGTCAAAGTTTAACAATTTACATCAAACGGTTACTAAGTTATGGATTTTTAAGTTAGGAACGACTTTTGAAATGGACTATACAGGAACTGTTAGAGTACATTGCTTCTACACACAATCCCCGACCATCATACCTTCTCAGCGACACTTCTGGGGTTCTCATAGCCCATCCACTGGTCGCCAAGAACTGCATATGGCACCCTCTGTTCTTGGTCCCAGGCTACGCTGGCTCCGGCATGAATTTGCTCACAAATCTAGAAGATGACACAAAACATGGCAATGTATAACGTAAGCCCATTATGGTATGCGAGAATTCTCACATGCTATATAGAGCCAGTTTTAACATACGGCTGTGAAGCCTGGACAATTAATAAACAAGCCGAACAATATCTTGAGGCCGCGGATCTGTGGTTTTACAGAAGAATACTTAGAATTCCTTTGACAGCTAATTAGAGCAACCAAGATGTTTTTAAAAAGGCGAATGCTCGAAGACAACTCATCAACGTATTGATGTGGTCATTATTTCGCCGGCCGCTTTTACTTCACAGGACTTTACCTTTTAACCATTTAAAGCTGGGTGAATATGGCAGCCAAGGACATGTTTGAAAAAAATCGGGTACCATGCAGATTTGAACCCAGGAATGTTGGATCCGCAGGAGAGCGTCAATCCGCTACTTCTTGACGGCTTCCCAGGCATATAGTGCTGAACCCATATTTGTATAGTTGGACTGGATAGGTGATATGGCCGTCATGACGTCGGCCGCATTTACGTCCCGTTACCTGGTAGCCATTTTAGGGTGGGTCAAGCTAGGAGCAAACTGTTTAACCTGGATACAGATTTGAACTCAAACCCTGCGAACCTGCAAGTTGGCCACCGCAGCCCAACGAGAAACCAAAGGCAGATAATGAACGCAGTATAGAACTGGTGGCATCAGCCAATACAGACTGAGAGATTTACCGGTCACTAACGAACTGTGTGGATCGATGTGCGGTGAGCATACACTGTCGACTAATTCACTTCTATAGAACAATCTGCATCCGACTGGGGATGTGTTCAATAATCCAACCACCGCTTTTACCTCCCAGAACAAATTCGGGTACCATTTAAGTTGGACGGAAGGCCCATTTTATTTAAGTGAGAAATAATGTGTAGTGGTAATAAACAGTTTGACCGTTGTTTCAATTTGATAAACTGTTTATAAATGATTGTAATATTAATAAACAGTTTCTTTCGAAGTCGCAGTGCATCTTTCTGAGATGTGAGGGACCAACAATCTGCATATACATAAGCCAGATCTGAAAACGCATGTTTACGCAAGACGCAAATTCTGGAACAAGGCCACAGTACAGAAGTCGAAGAAAAACCAGAAGAAGAATAGGCAGTTTACCGCTGGTCTAACTCACCTCGGGGTAAAAAAGATGTCCCTTCAGCTGCCTCAACCTTCCAGGCCGGCCTGGCCCCACAGCTTTGGAACCAACGCCATACACATCTGTATTTTTATTCTTCTGGTCTTTTTCGGTGCCAGCTGTGTTATCTGTTTGTACGTCTGAAGGTAAAGTTTCGTGAGGGTCAACTTGAAGAGTGAAAGATTGTCCGTAACCTGCTATGCCCAGATTGATTTTATGTGGCGGGGCTCCTAGATTTATCCATAAATTCACTATCCATTCCTGAAAAGAAATTGATGGCAGTTATGTTGAGCATATTGAACAATAATCAAGAGAGGGCTGCAAATATCCGAGCAAATCAAGTAAAGAGTGTGAGATGTTGTGTGTGCTGTCAACGAACAAATCATGAAAAGTTGTGGGACACACAAATAAAACAAGAAGATGTTAAGCAATAAAATCAGTCAAACTTGAATGTTTAAGCAGCATACGATCCAGTACGAGCAGCAGTGAACATGGGAGCAAAATTTCTAAGGAAAAAAGTCGAACGTATGATCTTGGCAGTGACATTGGGTCAGTTTTGTATGTGGCGGCACGCGACATCACGGCTGTTAGATGTGTCATGGTGTGATGTGATGTATTTGGCTGTGTGACTAAATACTCAAGATTTTATGATTGGGACTTTTCCATCTTGTCCGACCATAACATTACATTCTGATATAGATAGGCTTGAGAATCAGACTGTAGCGATGACGAGTGTCATTGACAAGACCCGCTGGCGTTATGAACAGTTCCACAACCAGAGCCATGGAAAGATTTCCGGTCATATGCAGTCGCCCGTGCTTTTGATGTTTAATGAGGGGTTTCAAGAAAAGACAAGAGATGTTGGTGGCAGCACTTGGTGCCTACAATAGGATCAAATCTGATATTTTGATCTCTGTGCTCATGGAAAAAAAGGGTCTGTCGCTGCCTAGTGAAATTGGTTGTCAGCTGTACTGCATTCACGTATAAAAGCACATAGGGCTAGAACAAGGCCACACTACAGAAGTGGATGAACAACCAACAGAAGAATAACCAGTTTACCGCTTTCTTCAGGGTGAGTAAGCTTTCCCTTCAGGTGCCTCAGGCCTAGAGAATTGTCAAGAGAGTGAGAGGAGGGGGGCGGGGGAGAAACGAGAGCGACATTCTGTAAAGAATCTGCTGACTGATGATGATTGTGTACAGCAGGAACAAGAACAAGGGGAGAGGTGGGGGGAAAACCTGATGATTTACAGCTGCATGACTAGTGCAGCCACCACCATATGTGCAGTCACCACCATCTCTGAAGTCATCACCATCTCTGGAGTCACCACCATCTCTGCAGTCACCACCATCTCTGCAGTCACCACCATCTCTGCAGTCACCACCATCTCTGAAGTCATCACCATCTCTGGAGTCACCACCATCTCTGCAGTCACCACCATCTCTGCAGTCACCACCATATGTGCAGTCACCACCATCTCTGCAGTCACCACCATCTCTGCAGTCACCACCATCTCTGCAGTCACCACAATCTCTGCAGTCACCACCATCTCTGCAGTCACCACCATCTCTGAAGTCATCACCATCTCTGCAGTCACCACCATCTCTGCAGTCACCACAATCGATGGAGTCACCACCATGTGTGCAGTCACCACCATCTCTGCAGTCACCACAATCACTGGAGTCACCACCATATGTGCAGTCACCACCATCTCTGCAGTCACCACAATCACTGGAGTCACCACCATATGTGCAGTCACCACCATCTCTGCAGTCACCACAATCACTGGAGTCACCACCATTTGTGCAGTCACCACCATCTCTGTAGTCACCACCATCTCTGCAGTCACCACCATTTCTGCAGTCACCACAATCACTAGAGACACCACTATCACTGGAGTCACCACAATCACTGGAGTCACCACCATCACTGGAGTCACCACCATCTCTGGAGTCACCACCGTCTCTGGAGTCACCACCATCTCTGGAGTCACTACCATCTCTGCAGTCACAACCATCTCTGCAGTCATAACCATCTCTGGAGTGACCGCCATTTGTGCAGTCTCCTCCTTATGTGCAGTCATCACCATCTGTACAGTCACCACCATCTGTGCAGTCACCACTATCAGTGCAGTCACCACCGTCTGTGCAGTCACCACAATCTGTGCAGTCACCACCATCTGTGCAGTCACCACCATCTGTGCAGTCACCACAATCTGTGCAGTCACTACCATCTGTGCAGTCACCACAATCTGTGCAGTCACCACCATCTGTGCAGTCACCACAATCTGTGCAGTCACCACCATATGTGCAGTCACCACCATCTGTGCAGTCACCACAGTCTGTGTAGTCACTACCATCTGTGCAGTCACCACCATCTGTGCAGTCACCACCATCTGTGCAGTCACCACAATCTGTGCAGTCACTACCATTTGTGCAGTCACCACAATCTGTGCAGTCACTACCATCTGTGCAGTCACCACTATCTGTGCAGTCATCACTATTTGTGCAATCACTACTATCTGTGCAGTCACCACAATCTGTGCAGTCACCACCATCTGTGCAGTCACCACAATCTGTGCAGTCACCACCATCTGTGCAGTCACCACCATCTGTGCAGTCACCACAGTCTGTGTAGTCACTACCATCTGTGCAGTCACCACCATCTGTGCAGTCACCACCATCTCTGCAGTCACCACAATGTGTGCAGTCACTACCATCTGTGCAGTCACCACAATCTGTGCAGTCACTACCATTTGTGCAGTCACCACAATCTGTGCAGTCACTACCATCTGTGCAGTCACCACTATCTGTGCAGTCATCACTATTTGTGCAGTCACTGTGCTGTCACCGCCATTTGTGCAGTCACCACTATATGTGCACTCACCACAATCTGTGCAATCACTGTGCTGTCACCGCCATTTGTGCACTCGCCATGAACTATGCCTAAAGGCGTGGAAAGTTATCTTTTTTTTTTTTTACCTACTGATAGTATAAATGCACACTTACCACAGAATGTTTTCTGGACAACTTGTGGTGATTCCGTGGAAACAGTGGGCTGTTGAAAGCCGTCATCATCCACGCCCCGTAGTAGAAGTCGTAGGCCTTTATGTTAATCATATCAGCGTACCTGAGAAAGATGCAAACATTAGGATTGGTGCTTTTTGAGGAGCAGATGAAGTCAAAGGAAAGACCCACCGATACAACTGACCGTCTCAACCAAAAGTCTTAATCAGTGATAACCATTAAGTTCTCGGTTAAAGCTCGTCTGCGTTTGCCATTACTTTCACCAGACACGAATGTTGCCCTTATGTAGACCGCCTAGTTTACTAGCTATGTTCTTGAAGCTTCTTTGACTTATAAGAAAAAAAAGAGACGCTAGTCAGAATTATTGAAAAACCCTTAAGATGTAGCTGGTACTCATCGTGAGGTGTTATATTCTTCTCTGCATCTTACACCACAATAAATAAAGTATTAATAATATGTAGTCTGAGCCAAAATGGCAGCGTTATATAAGAACGGGTGAGGCATGTGTTCGAATCCTTGTGAGATTTACTTTTTATTTATGAATTCCTGGCGTATACACTACATAGCCACTGCTTGTGTGTGTGTGTGTGTGTGTGTGTGCGCGCGCGTGCGTGCGTGCGTGTCTGTGTCTTTCAAACTCCACAGCCTGGGCGGAAAAGACAGGGGTGAAAAAGGGGTGTGCCGCTCACACTAGCAACTGCATGTATGCCGTATTAAAATATAGTTTAAAAAAAAAACAGTATATGGTACAATGGTTATTTTTACGATGGTCTCCCCATTTGCACACCACCAGTTGTAGGTCAACTCCGTCGATAAGTTGGTTGGACTAGTCTACCGGGGTCGAGGTTATCGGTGTCGTAGTCTGTTGTCTGTTATTTACGTTTTTATTTCCTCGAAAAAGACGGCCATGACATAGATTTTCTAACTCTCTAGCGGTGTAGGGTGTTAGATCCAGTATCTAAATGTTTTGGAAGTGTTGAAAGCTCTGGCATGGTGAAATATACAACACGCGGTATGAGCGCCAGTTCAGAATATCCCCCTGACCTAGTGTAAAAGTCGGATTGCTCGAGGCCGACCTATTAGAGGTCAGCTGGTCAGTAGGTCGTCCAATCAGAAGCGAGCTAGTGTGTAGCCGTGTGCATATAGTGAGACCAACGTAAAATGTACCGGTACAATATATATTATCATCAGTTCTCGTTATGCCTAGTGGCACATGAGGCTTCAGATAGGACTTTCCGTGCTTTCTTGTTCTGTGCAATCTTCAGCGCAGTTTTCCATGTCAAAGTTGCAGCACTCAGGTCACTTTCAATCGTTGTTCTCCATGTTGTTTTTGGGCGCCCCTTTTTCCTCTTTCCCTCTGGTATCCACGTGAGAGCTGTTTTTGAAGAAATATCAGAACTCATTCTCATAACGTGGCCAAGCCATTTCTATCTATATAGTACACTAATAACACATAAAACAGTAAAGCCATTCATACTTGCTAATGAGATCCACTTGATATCCCTGACGAACTCTCTCTTCTCCAACAGGGACAGCGATCGACAGGAGCAGCTCTTGTTGTCCTGTACGTAGAGCTTCTTCTCTGAATGCTGATTTTAGATCCTGTCTCGGAAAGTCATTAATATAACTGCTATGGAACACATTCCACCAGATGCTTGCTATTTATTAAACGTCATAGTGTGTGCTGTATGGTGTTAGTGTGTGTGTGCTTTATGTTGTGGGCTTCATAGTGTGTGCTGCATGGTGTTTCCTATGGTGTGTGCTATATGGTATATGCTTCATAGTGTGTGTCCTGTAGTGTGTGCTTCATAGTGTGTGTCCTGTAGTGTGTGCTTCATAGTGTGTGTCCTGTAGTGTGTGCTTCATAGTGTGTGTCCTGTAGTGTGTGCTTCATAGTGTGTGTCCTGTAGTGTGTGCTTCATAGTGTGTGTCCTGTAGTGTGTGCTTCATAGTGTGTGTCCTGTAGTGTGTGCTTCATAGTGTGTGTCCTGTAGTGTGTGCTTCATAGTGTGTGTCCTGTAGTGTGTGCTTCATAGTGTGTGTCCTGTAGTGTGTGCTTCATAGTGTGTGTCCTGTAGTGTGTGCTTCATAGTGTGTGTCCTGTAGTGTGTGCTTCATAGTGTGTGTCCTGTAGTGTGTGCTTCATAGTGTGTGTCCTGTAGTGTGTGCTTCATAGTGTGTGTCCTGTAGTGTGTGCTTCATAGTGTGTGTCCTGTAGTGTGTGCTTCATAGTGTGTGTCCTGTAGTGTGTGCTTCATAGTGTGTGTCCTGTAGTGTGTGCTTCATAGTGTGTGTCCTGTAGTGTGTGCTTCATAGTGTGTGTCCTGTAGTGTGTGCTTCATAGTGTGTGTCCTGTAGTGTGTGCTTCATAGTGTGTGTCCTGTAGTGTGTGCTTCATAGTGTGTGTCCTGTAGTGTGTGCTTCATAGTGTGTGTCCTGTAGTGTGTGCTTCATAGTGTGTGTCCTGTAGTGTGTGCTTCATAGTGTGTGTCCTGTAGTGTGTGCTTCATAGTGTGTGTCCTGTAGTGTGTGCTTCATAGTGTGTGTCCTGTAGTGTGTGCTTCATAGTGTGTGTCCTGTAGTGTGTGCTTCATAGTGTGTGTCCTGTAGTGTGTGCTTCATAGTGTGTGTCCTGTAGTGTGTGCTTCATAGTGTGTGTCCTGTAGTGTGTGCTTCATAGTGTGTGTCCTGTAGTGTGTGCTTCATAGTGTGTGCTGTATGGTGTTAGGGTGTGTGTACTTTATGTTATGGGCTTTATAGTGTATGCCATGGTGTGTCCTATGGTGTGTGCTATATGGTATATGCTTCATAGTGTGTGTGATGGTGTGTGCTATATGGTGTTTTCCTTAGTATGTGTGTCATGGTGTGTGCTTTATGGTTTGTGTCCCATGGTATGTTTCATGGCCTGTACCGTGATGTGTACTTCATGGTGTGTGCTTTATTATGTGTGTCCGATGGTGTGTGCTTCTTGGTATGTCTCATGGTGTTCCATGGTGTGTGCTTCTTGATGTATCTCATGGTCTGTCACATAGTGTGTTTTATTGTGTGTGTCCGATGGTGTGTGTTTCTTGGTGTGTCTTATGGTGTCTGCCATGGCGCGTGCTTCTTGATGTCTCATGATATGTCTCATGTGTGTAACCCATAGTGTGTGCTTTGGGGTGTGTCCCATTGTGTATGCTTCTTGATGTGCCCCATGCTGTGTCCTATTATGTGTTCCATGGTGTGTTCTTTGTGGTGTGTCTCATGGTGTGTACTACATGGTATGCCCCATGGTGTGTGTTTCATGGCGTGTCCCACGGTTTGTGCTTTATAGTGTGTGATTCATGGCGAGTGGTTTATCGTGCGTGCTTCACAGTCTGTTTTATGTTGTGTACTTTATGTGTCTCATCGTTTGTCCTACGGTGTGTCCCATAGTGCGTGTTTCATAATGTAATGTGTCCTATGGTATGTCTCATGATGTGTGCT